TAAATAATTGCATTTGAATTTTTTTCTACTTAATTCAAGGACTTAATTAAAATATTTTTCAAAGTTTGAAAGAAAAAGATAATTTTTCCTTTTCTTTTGGTTCTACATGACATGAGCTTCAGTTAACTAAAAAACAAGGATGGCTGAAGTATAGACTAAAATAATACAAAAATGACGGTTTCTAAACCATTTAAAAAGAAAATTAAGTTTGGATGCTAAAATAAAATTGAGTTAATAATTATTAAATTTAACTCATTCTTTTGTTGCTTAAAGCACAAGCTAACGCAACATAAAAAAAATTAAAAAAAATAAAAAAATAAAAAGAAGAAGAAGAAGAAGAAGAAATGTTAAGGCAGCTTAAGGTTTCTCTTGACGCTTGTCAATTTGGTCAAATAGAAAAAGAAAAATAAATTGAACCATTGGGAGCAGCGGGTCTAAAAACCATCCAATTGTCATGTAGCATTTGGTACTAACTGGTGTTTAACTTTGCCTGAACTAGGCATATCAATCATTCTTGATAAAATTTAAGATAAAATAGGAGCTAATTAATTCACCATATTCAGATCTGTAACTTTAAACCACAAAACCCTAACCCCACAAATTAAACAATGAACAAAATTCAAGATTTAATTCATATGAACTACAAGAAAGATTAAAAAGAAAATTTCCCTAGCATACAAAATGAAAAACCCAGAATCGAAAACAGATCTACAAGCATAAACTAAGTAAACCAAATTCGAGAACCAGAAGCAAAATTCATTAACAAAAGCAAAGCCTGCCCAAGAGAAAGTGGGTACCTGAGAAAGAGAAAGAGGGATTATAAACTCTGCTTGAATCGAAGAGGATGACTTGGAGTTCTCAGACGAGTTCAAAGAAGCAGTGACGAAGTGTATAAATAGATGAAGAGTCAAAATACGCAATTGGGGCTAGATTCAACGGGTGAGGTTGGGATGTGGAACTGTGGGGTGGGAGGCGAGTTTCCAGGGAGTAGGCTGGCTTCTGGAAGGAAGAAGGAGTCGTTGGGGCTGCGACCGGGAAGAACGGGTTCATCTCCTTGTGTCCCGTTTGATGGCTTGACAACAGTTGGAATTGGTCATGTGATATACCAGCAAGTATGTGCCGATGAAAGGGGCGAGGATAATTCATTGATTTTCCCAGCAATGGAAGCTGCTAAGGAAGCAGATGTCACTTTCCTGTGCATCAAAAAAAAAAAAAGAAAGGAAGCAGATGTCACCATTGTTACATATATAATTAAGTATTTTTTAATAATATATTTATTATTTATATTATATAATA